CCACACACACACACACACACCTACACACAAAGAAAAACAAACAAAAACAACCTTTTAAAGTAGAGGTTTTACGGCGCTCGCCACTGCATAAGGTCATATGAGCGCCAGAAGATTAGAGGTGTTACGTAAAAAGAAGAAGGGGAGATAAGGACGACATATGTTCGATAGGAAAGGAGAAGCAAACCACACCAAAGCACCCACCAACCACCCACACAAAAACAACCAAAAGGCAAAAAAAAAAAAGCAAAGCAAAACAAGACAAAAACAACACGCACGCACGCACGCACGCACGCACACGCAAACACACATACAAACATACACACAGGTACAAACACACACACACACACACACACATACACACATGCGCGCGCGCGCGCACACACAGACACACACACACACACACACAAGCTGACAAAGGAGTTGTAATTTTGACATTTCACTGACCTTTCCCATATTTTGGGAGAGTGTCCAGTGTTGTGAGGCAGACAGGACACAGTGTCTCAGTGGACCTGAGAATCTGTCAGCGCCGTAGCGCATGTCCTCAAGGAAGTCGCATTCCATATTTACCAGGTCGAGGAGAGACTCGAGCTTTTGGCGCCGGGACTGGGAGTCGGTCTAAAACAGGACGGGGGATACAACATGTGCACACATGTAGTTAGTTGTGTTTTGGACGCTCCTGACCTACTATAACAATACGTGCGCTTGTATCTGATATTAACTTAGTTGTTGACCATTTTTCTTCTTTTTTTTTGTAGGGATCCGTATAGATCTTTATATTTTTATATCAATTTTGCTTCAATCGTGAGATTAATTTTTTTCAATTTTCTTTTTGATTTTCTTTTTTTTTGTTCTTTGTTGCTTTTCTTTGTTATTACTACTATATAGACAATTTTCAGTGATAGGGCTAGGGTACTGTGTAGTCGTCATACAAGGTATGCACACTACAACTTTCTTGAAACAACATCTCACTTAGAAGTCTAGTTATCTTGCCTACCATTTGGGAAAGACACAAGAAGGTGGAACGGGAGAAGTAAGACAAGGAGGTTAGGCTTCTGAAGTAGTTAAAAAAAGAGCAGAACAAAAAATAACACCACTTACTAGTAGTAACAAGAATAAGAACAACGACACAGACAATGGCGACGACTTCAACAAAAGCTGTATTTTTTAAAACCATTATCAAACGCCTGGAAAGATAGCCATACCAACAGTAGAAACAACAGCTACAGTGGTATGGACAGCAGCAACAAGCACACGTTAAGACAACAGAAACACTATTGCAACAACAACAAGGGTAAGAGAAACAAGAATCACACCCCAACATGACACAGACAACATATCTCATTTAGGAGGGAGATACGAGGGATTTTTTTTTCGTACATAGTGACGTCTCCTCCAAAGTCCTTTTCCTCCTTGTCAGATGGAAGCTGGGAGTCAGACTTTAAAAAAACGGGATGCATATTGTTAGTTACGTTTTTTGGAGCTCCTGTTCTATTATAACAATTCTTGAATCTGATATCAACTTTGTTGTTGATTTTTTTCCTTTTTTGCAGCGGGAATATATGGGTATTTAATGTTTCGATATGTTCTGGCGATCATTAAAAGGTACCCCTCTTTCATTGGGTACAAATATCTGGCCTTT